CGTGGCGATCATGCTCATGCCCCCGATGATGATGAGAGAGAGAGAGAGAGAGAGAGAGAGAGAGAGAGAGAGAGAGAGAGAGAGAGAGAGAGAGAGAGAGAAACGGACCTCACCGGGGTGTGCCCACCAGATGGGTGCCTGGGCAGAGAGCGGCGCTTAGGCTGCCCAGGGGCCAACACAGCCTTGAACAGGATGTCTGGACGGTGCACGTGTGACTGGAGTTTGTCACAGGCTCTTTCATGAATTGCATGGATATCTGTCTCCAGGTTATTCAATTGCTCCAGCATTTCCCAGACCAATAATTTTGACCTGCTCAATCTTCGTTTCACAGGCGTCCTCTCCTGCACTCTTCTTTGTGAATTGCTTCCATGGCAGTTGAATATCCCCAGAGGCATCACAAAAGCCATTTCCCTTGGCCCTGGGAACAATTCGTCTTGCTGGTCTCTTAGGTGATATGTGTATTGTAGTTGTCTGGTTGCTTTGACTTCTTGGCTGCGTCCTTGGTGCAGCATCCATACCCACAGTCCCCCTACTTGCATTGCATCCTTATCCGCAATATGTTCCCAGAGGCTCCCAAAGGCCATTTCCTTTGGTACTCAAGCATGAAATGGGACTTCCATTGTGGCCATAGATGCTAATCATTTTTCCTTTGATTGGAACGAGTGTGCAGATCCGCATGGTGATCAGTGTGCTTAAGATGTGACTTGTGACCGACCCAAAGTTGGGGTTGATGCGGCAGGGCGATCACGAGGCTACAAGGGTGAACACTCGTTGGAGAACCGCGATGCACAGATTGTGTGGTTTCCTGGGTCCCAGAGGCAGTTCCTGCTGGTACTATGCCCAGGATAAGAAAGCATGAACCTAGCCATTGTTAGGGCCCTGTTCTTGCTTCATAAGCGTGAACATAGCTCGAGTGAGGCTTGTCCCTTGATCAACCATTGTGCTGGGCATGCATCCTCATTGTATGGGAAGATACGCCCGGATTATGGAAAGGCCTGTCAGATTTTTCATCGAAGTGTGACAATCTGAAAACCAACAGGCATGTAGTGGAACACATAGGTGATTGAAGCAGATTGGTGAACAGGATGAAAGTTTTTATGTTCTTCAATCCTTATACAACTCTAGTGGAACAATTTATTGGCAAGGTGGTGGAGCTTTTAGCATCCGTCCGTCCTCCTCCCCTTCTCAATGAAATGGCTTTGCAAATGACATATCGACTTTATACTTGCCATATTTCCTCCTGTGGGCGCAGTGTGTACTTATGCAATCATTGCTTTTCTTGCACTTTGTCGCATCCTGGGTGTTTTGTGGATGCAGTTCGCATCTGGCGATACATCATACCTCTATATCTGGGCACTGCAGGAGGAGAGAATGGCTAAGGAAATCCAGACGAATGCAAATGAAGCAGTCACAGCTTTGGTAAGTCAACATCGTGTCTACTGTTGCTCCCTTTTGTTTGTGCACTTTGCCTACCCAGTATGAGATTAGACCACCACTAGCTTTCCCAGCCAAAGTTGAGAACCGAAAATGCGACAATCCAGGTTTATTGGATGAGCAATGCTACAAGTGTTATGGTCCTGGTCATTTCATAATGCACAACTCAAAAAGTGATAATGTTGTTCAATTACAGCCCAAGAGAAAGAGATTGGAATGAAATAAGACGAAAAGAAGAAGAATGAAGAAGACACTTCCTGCCTGCGATTGAAACTAAGAGGTAAGGTCCACATCGGTGGATACTGACTGTATGTAATGTTAAAGGCAAATCTGACTATATTGAAACGGTTTTCACCTTCGCAGTAGCAGATGCAGATTCCAGGGCTCGATCCCTAGCCCTGTACTCACCCGTGTACAGTATCAAGTCGACCCTGTGTGTTCGAACCCGCGACCTGTGTCTTGTTAGTTGACTGCTGTCTGTCGTAGGTCTAAGTAGTTGTCGGGTCTCGACCCGTAGGTCTGTTGAGTAGGGGTCGCAGCTGTGTAGGGGTCATAGGTGTTGCAATTCTGAAAGGTCAAGGTCGTAGCTGCTACAAGTTGGAAAGGTCAAGGTCGTAGCTGCTACAAGTTTGGAAGGTCAAGGTCGTAGCTGCTACAGTTCCGAAAGGCCAAGTCCGCAGACTTCCGGAAGGTCCGGAAGTGGCCTTTCGAAGCATTGCTCACGTTAGACCAGAGGCAAGTGGGCAAGTGGGTAGTACAACTTTGCTTAGTCAGCGGTACCCAGTCCCAGTCTCACTTTGTCCAGTCAGCAAGTACCATGTGGGACTGTGTGCACCATGGGCCCGGTGGAAAGGGCAGACCAGCGACCAACAGAAGTATAAATCAAGAGGAGCGTCCAGCCATGGATTCATTCTGCATGAGCCATGCAGAAGCGCTGCCCGAGCGTCTTGTGCGAGGTGGTCTGGAGATGCCTGAAGTCAAAGTGGGCTGCGAGGAAGACAGAGCGGCCATAGCTGTTAGCTGGTGATAGTAGTAGAGCGCAGCCATAGCTGCGATAGATTAGCGATAGGGTGTAGCGTGCGTGTGTGAGTGTGTGTGGTGTGAAGAGTGAGCGTGCGTGGGACATCCAGGGAGATGCGGAGTAGAGTGCGTGTGAACAGTCGCTGTGAATACAGAGTCAGAAGGGTGATGTGTAGGCGCTCAGGCGCCATAGCCAAGTTGAAGCGAGTTTGTATCTGAACTGTGTTCTCGGCCTTAATATCTCTGAGCTTTGTGTGGGCGCCTGGCGCCTGTGTGGATTTCCATCTGTTTGCATCATGGCAGCGGCGGACAAGTGAACCGGACAAGTCCGGACACCGGAAACCGGATTTCCCGGTTTCATCCGAACATCCGGAGTTCGGGTATTCTCCGGTTAATCCGGACATGTCCGGATCGGCCTGTCCGGATCCCTGTCCGGATGTGTGCACATGTCCGGATATTAAAAAAAAAAAAAAAAAAAAAAAAAAAAAAAAGCCTGCTATACAAAGTACTGCAAATGGGTTGAAAACAACAAAAAGGCCATGTGGCACAGGTAGGGGCGGGGAGGGGAGGTTATAGCGAGTACATGTCAACAACCAAGATGAGGGGGAGGAGGGCGAAGACATGGAGTAGCAGCAGGAGGAGGGCAAAGACGTGGACGGGGAGGAGCGGGAGGAGGATGAAAACGAGGAACATCAGACGACAAAGATCCGAAAAAAAAAGGAAAAAGGGTGCCACGTGGCATGAGCAGGGAAGGGAGCGAGGGAGGTTATAGCAAGTACATGATGATGACCAAGAGGAGGAGGAGGAGGAGGAGCGGAAGGAGGACGCAGACATGGAGAAGGAGGCGGCGGACGGAGGAGCAGAAAGGAGGAAGACCATGACAACAAAACGACGAGAGAGAGAGACAGAGAGAGAGAGAGAGAGAGAGAGAGAGAGAGAGAGAGAGAGAGAGAGAGAGAGAGAGAGCTGCTTGCACTGCTCCTCGCGCGGCCTTTGCTGCACCCACTGCCAGCCCTCCTGCGCCTGCTCCGCATCTGCTCCTTGCCTGCTATGGCCGCCTCGTTGCCCTGCTTCTTCCTCCCTCTGACAATGGCGGTAGTGGCGGGCATGCAAGCTCGAATATTGTTGTGGGATGGGGGGCGACCGAACTCGTAAGACGGGATGATGAATTCAAAGACTGTGCCCACTACGAAGCTGCCACGATGCAAGGATGACATTCAAACGGGCAGAAACATAGAAGGAAGAAAACTTCTCACAGGCAAAAAAAAAAAAATTATGGCCCTACCAGATGCCCCTTCAGGGCCAAAAAAATTCTGCTCGTATTTTTGGCTGGCAGCCCTGGGCGAGACGAAACGCCCTGGACAGACAAAAAAAAATTTGGCCGTTGGCCAAAGGGCCTGGAATCCGGACCGGGATCCGGACACGTTCACCGGACACCGGACACCGGACGGTCCGGATCCCTGTCCGGAGGTCCGGATCGCTGCCATGGTTTGCATGCATGCCGAGTAAGGAGAAGACGGGTCTGATTGCAATATACGGAAACTTCTGAGCATCCAATAACGAATGCATCACTGCAGGCAATCAGCAGGGAAGTAGGTCTAATTTGGAACCAACGCCATCTTGCCTTCATCTCTCTTCTCCATCCTCCCCACCATCATCTTATATTATAAATAACAAATGGGCCTGGCGCGCCGCGCCCCAGGCCCAATCCTGCGGATGAATATAAATTTCCATCCATGCCAACTTTTCTTTTTTGAATTTGTGAATGTTTTTGCCCTTCTCTTTTCCTTTGCAATAACCCGTTCAATATGCACTGTGGTTGCCTGAGGGGCACCCACAGGCCACGACCCCGGCCTAAGGCCGTGGCAATCGAGGGGAAGAAAACCCTCGAAATTGGCTTCAGGGCCCAGCAGAGACAGTTGACTTTAGCCAACTGCCCAGCGGCCCACAAGTCTTTGCATGGACCCAGCCCAGGCCGCCGATCAGACACAAACACTTGTTTGTCTGCAGGTACCCAGACAGCATTCGGACCAAGTGGAAGTCTGCAACTGTATGAGATCCAGGTCGTCGGCTGTGAGTCAATCTGGGCCACCGTGGGTGGGAGACCTGAGGCAGGCCAACCTCGTCGAATGCTACATAAGGCCCCTGCCTCTAGGAGTCAACATCCAGTCTTGCTATGCTGACTTGATGCTGATTGACGCTGGCTGCACGCTGGCACTGTGCGACAACAACGCGAGACTGCTGCATCGCATGTCTGACACTTTCTTGCTTTGGCACCAGACTGTCTTCGGGCTTGCTGACGTGGCGCATGCCATGCTGGGTGCATTGCTGATGTGGGGCATGCCACTCTGTCTTCGACATTGCTGACGTGGCATTGGCCACATTGTCTTCATTGCTGAGTTGAACGCGACAAGGAGGGAGATAGGATCTGCGGATTGAGAGAGAGGAGATGATACTTACCAGCTGCTGATGTCGATTCTGTGCGCTGCTGGACGTCTTCACAGGAGTGTGTCACGTGGCACTCTGAGGTGATCGGGCCCTGTCTGGCTCGTTTCTTGGGCACCGTTTGCTGACGTGGAGGCGAGGGGAAGCCCGGAGAAGGAGAGGGAAATGAGGGCTACTATCCCTGTGATCAATGGTGGATACTTACCTTTCCACCCTCTGAATAGTCTATCCTCCCCCTTTCTCTTCGTCTATTGGTTACGAGATATGTATCACCGATCACAATACATGATTATTGGAGACTTTATTCAGCGCCGAGTCATCTTGTACTTCGACACTATCCTCCCCCCTTTCTCTTAGTCTATTGGTTACGAGACATCGTATCACCGATCACAATACATGATTATTGGAGACATTATTCAGCGCTGAGTTATCTTGTACTTCGACACTTGACGAGTATCTTTCAGACTCGGTTCATTACAATTTGGTATCAAAGCTTACCTTCTTCGTCGCGATCTGTTGTCGTGCGCCCATGTGCGCTCACGTAAGTGAGAGGTGCTGCGCGCGTGATTGAATCGCATCTTTTGAAGCGCATGATTATAATCGCATTCTGGACATAGTACGCGCGCGCGCGCACTTTTCCCCGAAGATGATGACGTGGACTTGCTGAAGGCGAAGACAGCAACATTGCTTATGTGGTGCTTCGTTGCTGACGTGGTGATCAGATACCGGTGAGTGCATCGTTGGCTGTGGGCTTACGTGGCGCTGGTGAGAGAGAGAGAGAGAGAGAGAGAGAGAGAGAGAGAGAGAGAGAGAGAGAGAGAGAGAGAGAGAGAGAGAGAGAGAGAGAGGAGATCGGGACTGCTGACATGGTGTGCTGCCTACGTGGCATGGCGCGAGGGTGCTGACGTGGCATCCAGGGATTGATAGGGTATTGTCTGACGTGGCACGTACCTGTGTCTCGACTTACCTGCTGGCATGGCGCTCCACACTCCAGCGGTACCTATGATCTAACATGGCATACCAGTGGTGGATGATCTGGCAGACGATCCTTGCTGACGTGGGACCCTTCCTAAAGGCCTATCGGTCGCTGACGTTGACGCTGACGTGGCAACTCTGCGGTGGTGCTGCATTGGCATGCCAGGGTGACACGTGGCAGGACTATGCGCTGCTGGTGGTGAGAAGTTGATACTTGCACTTCTGTGCTGGCGAGTGGTACAACATCACGATTTAACTGTAGTGCCACACGTCGTCACTTGTGCCTGGTCGCATTGGCTATCTGCAGATGGTGGAGCTGAAGAGGAAAGGATGTTGACATATTGATTGTTTGTTGTGTTGGCCGACTCTACTCACTTGCCTTGGCTATTCTGTGGATGTTGTGCATACTCACCTGTGTTGTTGTGTCTTGATCACACTGGTCGTGGCTGTGGTACATGCACACTCTTGTTAGAACGTCACAGGTACGTCAGGGATAACAGGCCGATGACTCCCAAGAGCTCATATCGACGACACGTCATCATCTT